TACAACATAGAAGATATCATATCGCTCTAAGACGACCACTGCTTCGCGTTGCGGTTTACACATCTGCTTCACACGACATCTCTACTATATTTGCAAAACATGTACTTTCTCTGATTCACTCACTTAATGGTCATGAATTTTCCCCATACAACTAGTACACCAAATAAACCGTCTTATTTGTTCTGAAATTACAATGTCATCAAGTTCATATTACGTGCTCTGAATGAAGGGTAGTAGGGTGACGTTGGTTGTGAAAATCTTCGTATTACGATGAACGATACTACTGTGAACCTAGGATTGTGTGGTACTAGTGTCTCTATGGTATGGGATAATATAAATAGAAAAATATATTACACCATAAGTATTATTTATTTTTGTGGCTTCAAATTTTAATAAATTATGTGATATATCGTTGTGCAATAATTTTTTTATTACACTCAGACAATACTTATATTATTACTAAAATTACATTGGATAAACTTGATTTCTAAAACCTCTTGTCGTTAGTGTATGTTAATGAAAACGGTTTGTTTTTCTTTTCCGACTTGATAATTATCTCGTAATGTATAATAAACATTTCATTATCAGAGCGCAACCAATGTTTTGGACTATGCGTTTATGAGAGAAATGAATAGTTACATGAGCATCGGAAGAAAGACGCAAATGAACCGTCAATCAATTGTGGCATATCACATCAAGGGACGTTTGTCAAATAAGGCGTTGTCAATGAACCATGGGATCTCCCGATAGATTTTGAATAAGACGGGCCTGCTTTCAGCAGTTTAAGCGACTTTAGAAAAGTGTTTTCACATATATTATCGGGAAAACAAAACGGATATTTTCACAAAATTTACAGATACCTAAGGAAGGAATATGTTTTCAAATTGTATGCATGCGAATAACAATTATCTTTTGAAAATAACTAGTCCATTGTAATAGCGTTGAATAACTTTACTCTTCTTGACTCTTCGAAATATGTTCAAAAGAAGTTTTTTGTGGCTGCAGATGTGCGATATATATATAATATGTGTGTGTGTTTTCGTGGTATCCCTCGATCATCCAGACGACTGCTGGAATGGTTCTACAGAAAGGCCACGACCGCGAAAACCGGCGTCGTTTGCGGAATTCGTTAACTACGTGATGTCAAGAAGGTTAACCAAATTCGAGACATCGCGGATTCCAGTTTGGGTGACAGACAGGAACCCCCGGATATAATGGCGCCTAGGCTAATTGCGCTTTATGGAACATGCAATGGCTATAAAATTAAATTAATTAATTTTCCCAACTTTAGATATGTTTTCGTAAAGTTATGACTATTAACTCGCTTTGCCTGTTCAAAACATACTCGTTGGGAAAGGCCGTTTGTGTTTGATCTGCAGATGGCAGGGCAACGGCGGAAGCAGAGTGGGGCGCGTTTGGACCTAGGAAATGGGTGTAGAGGGCGCGCACAAGGGAGGAAGGGACACGCGTAGCACGCACTGACCGTGAGATATGGGCCATGTTTTATTCAGCTAAGCCTCCGAAACACTTTATGGATATCGCGAAGGCAGCTCCGCATAGGAGCCGGGGGCTATTTATGGATGCAATTCCGGCGTATTGATTCCCTCCGATTTCGGTTCAGAGCACGTCACAAGAACGACAGTTGAACTGCCTATCATGAAGTGCGGTTTGTGTTTATGTCTTCCAGAGATGATATTGCTTTGTGGATGTTTTCATATCTACTGTGTGAAGATATCATGCATGGTGAGCAATCGACATAGCGGTCACCAGATGAGACTGATAAGATTCTAATTGATTTCTACATTTTTTTGAACATTTGATACCTCTGCTCGAAATACTTCGTAGAAGAATAGGGTTTACTCAGAAAGCCCTCACCTTTCTTCATTTGAACAGCTACTGCTTCTCATTAGCCAAAAAGTGTAGTAATTCCTCCTTCAGTTCGACTTATACACGCTGAATAATGTGACACATATAGATTACTGGCAGTAATATCTGCCATGTATATGTGGTTAAAGTAATTAACCTTATGCAAATATAGCTTTGGAGCACTAATTGGTTTTTTCCCACATCGATTAAATATTGCTCCAAATTTGTATAATTAAGAAAATATACTGCTTGATTAAAATCAGTGTTTAGAGGGAAATTGAAACTTATCAACGCGGTGTTTGCAGTTGGATTTATTGTCGTGTGCCTTGACCGCGTTTACGATATATTGATGAGAAAATTAATTTATTCACCAGCAGAAATAATGAATGCACCTTCCGCAACTATTCTTATCATTTTCCATTTTCATTACATTCAATAGGTTTCTCGTCGTGGCCTCTGTTTCTGATTTTAATGCTTCAGTATTGAAGGAAGGAAGGAAGGAAGGAAGGAAGACAGTTTGCATCGCTTTTTCCCAAGACAAACATTTAACGCAGAAAATACGAACAACAACCATGTGGTGGCACGTATATCCGTGTGTGCATCTAATGCATTAATGACTGAAAGAAAACTGATATTTTAGAGAATATTTTCAAAAAGTTTAAAGATTTTTAAAATTATTCACAATTCCATAAAAAACACTAGTCTGCTTTATTATCATCCATCAACCCTGTTGTTAAATCTTTGATGCAAAATAGACCAAATTTTGCTTGTACGTAAGTGCATAAATTAGGTCATCCTAACCAGAGCACTTGTCGCTGTGGACTGAGCAAAAAACCAATTACCTTTCAAAACCGTACTCGTAAAAATTGGCATCCACCAGTTCAGCAGGTATTACAGTCGCGCACGCAGGTTTGTGGTAATTTCGAAATACTCGATGTCATCGTTATTAAATCGATACTCGTACACGAGGCAGCGGGAAGCACAGCAGCCGTTCGTGCTTTCCACCTCTAGGGACAGAAGTTCACATCACTGCACGTGCAATTTGTAATCAGCAAAATGAATGTTGGACAAGTTTTTGTGGGGCAGGATGAGCTGGTGTAGTTGGGGCCAAATCGAGCGGATCCATTCATTTTGAGAGAGGAGTAATGGATTTGGTTTTAATGTAATATTGTACAGTATTGCCTTAACGGTACATATTTCGTTACATTATTTGTAATGGTTACATAGTATTATAATTCTACTTCCTAATCCTCCTAAGCGTTTGCATCATGCAGACATTTTTGCTCATGCTGGGAACGTACATTTCGCAAACACTTCACTTATCCGCTACAGAAGACGAGTTATACGAACGTTCTTGCCACTTCAAAAGACGTTGAACATATGAAATTGTCGAAAATTCAGAGGTTTGAATGAAAATCGAACCCAATGATCTTATTTTGAAGAACCGATTTCAGTAAAATTATCGATATCTTCAAAAAGGTTTTTGTAAGAACATGCCGAAAAAATTGTAACTTTTGCAACTTTGCAGAATTTGCATCTTTGAAGAATTCGAGAATTTTGTAAAATTTGTGCCTGTTCCATTTTATGAGTGTACTTTGCTATATTCGAGAAAATGTAAAGAAACTAGTAGTGCTAAAATTGCACATATTAATATCGACCCTTAGTAACGGTTACGTAATAATAATATTACACCGCAATTTCTGTTTATATCGACTCATCTCAGTCAATGAGCGCTGCCAACAAAGTACGCATGCAGCGAGGGCGCTGCCAACATTGGGCACCTTGGGCGCCATTTTTGCCGCCATAAATGAAACTGTTTTTCAGTTTGCATTGTTGTGGTTTTATTGAAGTTCTCCTAAGGCGTTCTTTATGGAACACTGTTGCTTCTTTCGAATAAATACAATTATTTTTAGCCATGCCCCAAAGATATTTAAGTTCTTAAATTTTTCATTTATTTTTAAATAAGACAACACAGCGGGCATTTAATTTTGTCGCCAATTTTCACAAAAAATACACATCTTTTCAAAAAGTTGAACTTGCCTTTATTTGAAGATCTATTTTTGATAAACATTAAGGAAAAGAGGAAAAAAGGTATTTTTTACAAATGTACTTATAAGAAGATGAAGCGGAGTCAATTTGAGGAGGCTATTATATTTGTCGCGAAATCACACAAAAATATCAATACTTTTATTATGTCCTTATTTGAATATGTGCTTTTCTTCAACACATTTGATTAAAAAATGTATCTTTAGAATTATAATTTAGACGACGGAATTTTTTAATATATTTTCGCAAAATCACGCATAAACATGAGACCTGGGTTATTCAATTAAGCGTCAATTATGCTATCTAAGTTCCCAATTTAATGAAAAAACGTTGAGCTGTTTTTAAGAAAAAGTCGTTTAAAGAAAATAAAAATTGCAAAATTTCGCAAAAAATTCTCATGTTTTTTGAAAAATTGAAACTGACTTTATTTAAAGATCTATTATTGATGAACACATTTCACTCAGCAAAAATAGTATCTTAATATTGTAGTTGAAGAAAGTGGTTTTAATTTATGTGCCAGGGGACGTGTTACGAGACGGGGTTCGGTCTACCAATCAACGCACGGGTGCACTACGTGAAGCTCTCGTGAAGAATAAGAACTTATGCAAATATCTAATTGGAGTTTTGGTATCACAGGGAGTCCTTTTGAGTTTGAGAATCCATTTTTGAAATTGTTTGGATCAAATTCATGGTGTAAAATGTATGACTTCACTTTATTGTTTTCTTTGTTATATACTTCGCGAATATTGTCGGCTCTTGGTATTCAGAATGTTCGAGCCTCCATTGCAACATATTGCAAAACTATGCATTTTTATTGAATATTTAGATTATATACATTAGATTATTTTCGATACGTATTGGATATTAATCAATACAAAACGGATTCATAGATTTTTTTACATTTACATGTATAATAGAATATTGTGTTATATTTGAATATGTTAAATAAACATTATTTGCGTTTTCTTTATAATAATGTAATATAATACTTTAATATAACATTAATAATAAAACAATTATACAGTAATGATAAAAATAATAATGTACTACTTTTTATTTGTAATATTTGATTTTTTGTATCTTTTCAGGTAAGCTGATATGTTATATGCAAGAAAATGAAGTATCCAACCCAGAGTATGTAAGTTTATAGTTTTATCCTGTATTATTTTTGGTAACTTTTCCGAACAGTGTAATAGAGCACTGTAAATGGTACATTATTTGAACATTGCATTGTTTACATGAAATCAACGAAGTTTCTATCTTTTTACGTGATATATTTTAGTATTATCTCTTATTTAGAAATGCATTTTAAGGTCATCTAATTTCTTGCAACTCAAAAGAAACAACTGTGTGACAATGATAACACAACAGCAAAGTTTTATCTCATTAATCTTCCCTTCATCTCGCTTCCTGTTTCGCTCTCGAAGTTTACCCGCCATTTTGCTTTGCCCTGTGCCCTTTGATCCATGGCACTCCCATATTAGGGACCGAGACGGCAGGGTCAATTAAGGATTAATTAGATGTCCTCGGAACGAAGGTGAATTCATCTGAAGAGGGTTGCTCGTGGGGTTGAGGGAGGGTTTTACCTCCTCACGAAGAGTCTCAGGGCCTCTGGGCCTCATTAGGTCGCACCTGTCACTTGGAGGGCGCGTCGGGACTTCGAAATATGAAGAGGACTTGCAATGTCGACACGCCCCAGCCCGTGCACGAAAGTTTCAAGCTCCCATACGTAGAAGCAAATTAGCTAGTTGCATTATTATTTTTTATTATTATTATTATTATTATTATTATTATTATTATTATTATTATTATTATTATTACTTATTGTTTAGTTTGTTTGATGAAAATTTTGTTAAATTGACAAAATGTTTTGTAGTGAACTTACATTCATATCATTGTAATTAATATTTTATCTTCTTTATGATAATTTCATTATTGTATCGTTTAATATTAGCACCGTACAAATGTTATCTAACTACCTAATTTAAAGCTATAACCTTCCGTGGTGATAAAACCAATAGTCGCTATAAACATTCACACTTCAAAATTTTCTTACAAATTACGGATCATCAGTGCATCTCTTTAAGAATTTTCAGTTTGTTAAAAGCCATTCGTAAATGGTTGGATAACATCAGATAGAGATACTGTAAGGCCCTCGTAGACAGTATATTCTATACCTACTGAACTTATTTTTTCTTTCAATTTTTTCTATTTTTCATAATTGAAATTGAATTTATTTTCATTTCATATTTTTTTTTGAAATATTATTTTCCATTTCCCCAACCGATAAAATATACAAACCTAAAAAGTTATTAGCTGTATTAGTTACTTTTGATGTTATTTGATTTAAACAATTTTCAATTCCTCTTTGTGCATTTTCATCAGTTCACAAACTTTCTATCCTCATTGGTGATGAGTTAAAAATATAATTCTCTTTCTCCACTTCCTTGATAATGAGAATGCTTACAACATGAATAATAAAAACTATAAATATCCCATTAAAATATCAGCACTTAATTGAAGGTTTTGTAGTGTTCAACATGTAGTGTTTTGTAGTGTTCCTGGACAACAGTGAAAAAACACTCAGATTAAAAAGTAATAAACAGTTAGATTAAACACAGAATTGTCACATAAAATATATATTTCAATGTAATACTCAAATAAATGTTTGAATTCAGAAGAAGCAACAAAGGGTGCATTCGCCCCATGACTTTATACGTCTTTATTTTACGTCATTATTTATGTTAAAATGTCACCAAATTTTCCAAATAGAACAATTTGTGAAATAAATATATATTTTTTTAAAGTAGACGTTTTAATATCTCTCGACTATTTCTGTGACCCTTTATAGTTATTCTGTGGAATCGTTAGTATAACCAAGATCATGCAACGTGTAATACAATTAAGGTAATGAGACATGTTTTCACTCGCATTCTGCGCGCATGTCATTCATTTACTCTCTACAAACACTTCACTAGCTTTGAGCTTTGGTCGTAATGAGAGACCTCTGTTCGCACACGCTCACCATTTTGTGGTTAGACTGACGTTGTATCCACGCTTTCAAGATCCCAACGACGAAGATTAGAGAGCGTATTTCGGGTCTCGAGTGCTTTGAGGCGCCGAGCATTCGCGTCCGTCAAGCTCGGAAATGTTTGCTCTCGCGAACCTCGGTGTTGGATTCAGCGCGCCTCCTACGCGCTCGTCATTTTTTATGAAAGATGCTATTTTCATTTCTCCGGCGCACGGCGTGTTTTAGGTTCTTTGACGACTTCATGTTTCAGAGTGGGGAAAATGGAATCGTGTGTCATATTTTGTGGTGTGCTAAAGCTCTCCCTTTCTCGGAATGTTAATGCTGGACGTAAAAGTAAATTGAAATGACTCTCGAAATAACGGACCATGTTTACTCACAAATCAAAGTGAAAATATTCGATACACGAGGGTGGCTCGGGATACGACTGCTCGCAAAAGGCGGAAGTGAGCAATGGTTGCAAAAGTGTTCATCTGCACCGCTTAGTTTATATCTCTGTAGTTATGGCAAGGCACTGGATGAATAAATTTCGGGTGAACGTAAAAACGAGTAGGACCTATCGTCATAATATATTTTAAACAAAATAAATATAATATTCCATTCAGGATGGATGGATGTAGATGGATGTTTGTATATAATATACATATATATATATATATATATATATATATATATATATATATATATATATATGTATGTATATATGTATATTATATCTGCATATACATATTTATATGTATAATATATATATATTTGGCTCCTCGTCCGTTCGGCTGGACGTTTGAGGCAGAGCACGCCTGCGGCGCCGGCCGCGGGCGCATGACCTGCGGAGCGCGCTAATTTTCGTCGGCGCGTCGCCTTTCAAGGCGCGCGGCAGATGTGCCGTGGCCCGCGGCAGCCGCGACGCGTCGCGTCTCGCCCGAATTAACGTCAATTGCGCCTTTGAGCCCCGCGCCGCCGGTTGCCCCTCAGGCCGCCGTTTTCCCCATCATCAAACTGCTCTTCTCCCTCCTCTCTGTTGCCCGCCCTGCACCCCCCTGCCTCCCTCCCAGCCACCCTTCTTTTCTCTCTCCTTCTATCCTTGCCTCACACTCTTCTCTCCCTTCCTTCACTCACTCTCTCCTCTCCTTTCTGTGGCTCCCTCACTCACATTTTCCTTACCTCCCTTTCTCCTTTTCACGCTTTTCTCCATGCCTCCGTCCTTCTCTCTCTCTCTCTCTCTCTCTCTCTCTCTCTCTCTCTCTCTCATCCCTTTTTCTTTCCCCTCTCTCTCCCATTTGCATTCCTCTATCTCCCAATTTTCTTACCCACTTTCTCTCCATTAATTTCGGTATTCATGTGAATGTGTGCTGGCTAGCTGAACTTTCCGCACGGGGTTTTTTAAGTGGTTGTCGAGGTGTTTAAAGAAAAAAAAGATACAACTGATTTAGAGTTTGTATTAATATAAAACAATATTACATGATGTAAAAGTAGAATCAAGTAGAGACGTTCACCTTGAAACACGCGCAGGAGAAGCCATCTCAATCCAAAAATCCCCAGTTACACGAAAAGGAAAAAGCGAGGTTAAACGGCCATCCGAAAAAGGGATGAGAGAGAGAGAGAGAGAGAGAGAAGAGAGAGAGAGAGAGAGAAGGGACGGAGGCATGGGAGAAAAGCGTGAAAAGGAGAAAGGAGGTAAGGAAAATGTGAGTGAGGGGCCACAGAAAGGAGAGGAGAGAGTGAGTGAAGGAAGGAGAGAGAAGAGTGTAGGCAGGATAGAAGGAGAGAGAAAAGAAGTGGCTGGGAGGGAGGCAGGGGAGCGCAGGGCGGCAACGAGAGGAGGGGAAGAGCAGTTGATGATGGGGAAAAACGCGGCCTGAGGGGCAACCGGCGGCGCGGGGGCTTCAAAGGCGCATTGACGTTATTCGGGCGAGACGCGACGCGTCGCGGTTGCGCGGGCCACGGCACATCTGCGCGCGCCTTGAAAGCGACGCGCCGACGAAAATTAGCGCGCTCCGCAGGTCATGCGCCCGCGGCCGCGCCGCAGGCGTGCTCTGCCTCAAACGTCCGCCGAACGGAGGGAGCCAAATATATATATATCATTTACATATAAATATGTATATGCATATAATATACAATATACATACATATATATATATATATATATATATATATAATATATATATATGTATATTATCTACAAACATCCATCTACATCCATCCATCCTGAATGGAATATTATATTTATTTTGTTTTAAATATATTATGACGATAGTCCTACTCGTTTTTACCGTTCACCCGAAATTTATTCATCCAGTGCCTTGCATAACTACAGAGATATAAACTAAGCGGTGCAGATGAACCTTTTGCACCCATGCTCATCTTCGCCTTTTGCGAGCAGTCGTATCCCGAGCCACCCTTGTGTATCGAATATTTTCACTTTGATTTGTGAGTAAAATGGTCCGTTATTTCGAGAGTCATTTCAATTTACTTTTACGTCCAGGC